CTTCCTGCATTGGCACTGAACGTTGGCTCTGGACATTAATGGTGAGCTGCAGAATTATCCAGTATTAATGTAATTCCAAGGGATGCTGGGCTGTCTGTGCAGATCAGACAAGCTCTTCCACACCAAAATACTTTCTTTGTGGGCCTTGCTCTCTGTACAGGTTGCATTGCCATGTTGAAACAAGAAATAACGCACCACCAGACTGTTGCTACAAAGATTAGACACACAAAAGCGTATGGATGTATGCTGTAGCACCAAGGGGCTGTGACCATAAAATGAAAGACCTTTTTTCAGTCAGGTAGGAAACACAGATTGATGAATGACTGAGGCTATTACCAAAATAAAAATGGCAAGCCAATATCAGTGATCTCTCAAGCTTGGACAGAAGATGATCTAACTCTGATGACCCTGGCAAATGCTTGTTACAGTAAGCCATGTACCAACAGTACAGTAAGCCATGTACCAACTGGATATAAATGAATTATAGGCACAGGCAATTAAGAATTAAGAATTTAAATTAAGACATTTAAATTGGTAGAATGAGGATTTCCACAGGTGGAGAAGCATTTTTCTGTACTAGTTTTGTTGAAATCCAAGGATAAATGTTGACAGTTGACATCTTTGGAGTCCATTAAACAAGACAGGTCAATCAGCAAGGAAGAAAGAGTATAACTTTTAATATTAACAATGTGAATAAATAAAGACAGTATCACAGAGGAAATACAGACATAGAAATACAAGCAGCTATCACTGCTTATCTCATTTAGAGAGGAAAAACAAAAGTGCGAGCTACATATTATTGAATTATGTACCTGTGCTTTTACAAAGATAAGCACAGAAATAGATAAAACCTGTAAGCATGCTCTTATACAATCTGTTCTAGCTAGGCAGGCATAAACAAAAAGAAAATCAGTCCAAAGAAAAAGCTATCACCCCCTTTCATTTCGCTGAGGCTGTTGGCTGGCAAAAAGTATTGTGCAACCCAATGGCACAAACGAGAGCTTTACGTGCTTCCTGGTACACCTCGAGGGATGAGCCAGAGGCTATGAGTGCTCCACATCATCTTGGAAGGTGTTGTCCAAGGTGGAGTTAATTTTGGACCATTCCTTCAGGCTGTCCAACCCAACAGTGGCTAAGCCTTTATGTTTTTTTTTTTTCCCTTTTCTCCTCACAAGTGCGTTATGCCTGCTGGCAGCTTGACGCTGCCTCCCCAGCACACATCTGCAAGAACATGACTCGACTTCCTGAATAACTAGTAGGGCTTGGTTACTGCCATACATCTTAAAAAAACTTATCGCACATCTTATCAAACTTATTTTCCACCTTGCCTGACTCAAGTTCTTTAAAGATGAGATTTATGGATACCTGCTACTAAAAGCACCATAGCAAGGATTAAAAACTACAAAGAAGGGACCATTATTGTGGTTAAACTTAAATCCCAGAGTTCACAAAACTTTGTAGTAATGATATTATTAATGGTTATTTTAATAGTTTGGCTGTAGACACTGTTTGAGAAGCTACATTGGTTCATAGGTGGGCTAAACATAATAGGTTTATTTCACACACGGCTTCGTATTCAAGTGTATCTCTGCTGAGGAGCACGTTTGACTAGTGTGGTTGCCATGCTGTGTTCATATAAAGCCAGCAGCAGGATGGTCGCATTAGCTAAAAAGGAACCAGACGGGGCTCACTGCATGACATGAACCTGAACCCAAAGATTAGATTTCATTTTTATTATTTATTTTTTCCATTTCCTCAGCAAGAGGGACTGTTCACCAGGTATACATCCAAATGTCAAGCTGAGGTTGAGTGTGGATGCATTCTATTATTTTTAGACATGTCAACACCTCAGCAGTGACTGCAAAGTGCCTTATTTAACCACTGTCTGTGAGACAATTAGTCAGAGAATTGAAAACTGTAATATAATAACATTCCCAGAAAAATAATGAATTAGCCATTGTTGGTAACAGGCCTTCAATATCACACTTGGCACTATTTGGCAAAGTCACTGCAGGACCTCAGTTGGTAGGGTTCAGCAACTTTAGAAATGCAGACATTACTTAAAGCAGCTATAAGCTATATATATATTTATTTTGTGATAAGCCAGACAATTTTCTCAGGAGATGGTGGAGACCAAAACAGAGCTTGAATGAGAGTGAATATTAGATTGCCAGGTGAACAAGAATGTTTGCTAACAAGTTCACCATATCAGCTTCAAAGATCCTAATCTCACAGTGCTGTTTGTTTCTGCTGCCACCAGGAGGCCAACTGCAGGTGTAAGTGTTATTGCAGTAACTTACTGAGAGTATGCTGCACCTTCTATAAATGTGAAATATTACATATGATTTAGGTTTATGGTCCAGTTAAATGGTATCTAACCTCTACAGAGAACAGAGTATATTATCATGTTTTTCTCTAAAGTACACATCTAAGAAACTAAACAGATGTTAATGAGGCTTATGGCAGTTACAAAGACATTATACAAAGACAACAATAAGGCTTTGGATCCCAGCCTAAGCACCCATGAGCGGCCCATAACAATAAGCTGGAACATCAATAATAAAGACTCTTGTTCATAACGAAAGTAAATTACTGTTTAGAGAGAAGTGGATTCACCGAACTCCAAGCGACTCATATCGACTTTATGCAGAGTGTAACTTCTCAGGGCATACTGAATGTACTGTGGTTGACACAGGGGTTGAGTGTTCTCGATATAAATTTGCCGGCGTTATTACAAAAATCTCTCTGTGTTGTGGAGAACTGTGCCTGAGAGTGCAAAAAACTGATCATCCAAGGTGCTCAGACACATTTCTCAAACTCTGACAAGCTGAAACTTCCTCATTTTCTGCCATGAAAGAGAAAAATCCTCCACAGATGAGCCCTCAAATGAACTTTTCAACAATACTCCATTAAATGGAGTGTAGAGCTCACATGGGTATGGTGACCTTTATTGCCAGCTCGATGATAAAACAATAAAGGTTGTGACATTTTCAACACTCAAATACAACAGTGGCTGTGAAGATGAATATAATGTTCAAAACCAAAAGTATGAGTGCCAATATAAGAAAAAGTTATTAATATTACAAGGCTGATCTTTGAGAGCACATATTGACCACCCCTGACAATATGACAACCAGGCTTAGGGTTTGATTGCATTTTATTAAATCCAAAACCTTTTGAATTCCTTGCAGAATTTTATCTTTTAACATCTGCATGCTTAAACCAACTACAAGGAGTAGTTGAACTGGTTATGAAACCATCTCAATTGAGTAATGATGCCTCTATATGACCTACATAAACACACAAGACCATCAGCGAGAAGACTGGCTATTACAAGGTAGAATCAGCTGACCTAACCCGAATGTTAACTTTCTTTTAGTTACTATCCTCGTTAGTGGTTACCTTAATATTAAACGTCACATGATTTATTAATTTTAAGATTATTTTATTTGTTTGTAAAGCTTTGCATGGATTGGCACCCGCCTTTATCTCCGATCTCCTCAACCCATATTCTAAATCCATACCCTTTAGATCCTCTAATCATTTAAAATCCAAAGGTGAACTGTCAGATCTTCCACATCTATGGCCACTTTTAAATCCAGGCTAAATACCTGTTGCTTTTAAATGTGCTGTATAAATTATTGTTATAATATTTGACTGCACTTCTTCCCATTTCTCCTCATTATTTACGGTAACTTCATCCAGTGATTCACATCATGGTTGTGGTAAATCATAAGTCCAGTCTCAAGACGTTTTTCCCTAATTGTCTAAAATTTTCACTCAGACTTGTAATCTGGGGTCCTTGGTTTTGGGCAGTCCAGTTGCAGAGCTAGCAAGCAAGTTAGCTTATTTATTACCACCTACATTGGCTGGATAACTTTTATTTGAAATGTTATATAAATTAAGTTAAGTTTACACTTTGTCAGTTGTATTTGTCATGCCAAACGCCTGAAATCAAGTCTGGACTTGCTGCTAGCTTCTGCAATCCAATGCTCAGTCTCTAATTTAATCACTCATTAAGGGTAAAACATGTCCTTGTACATGTGCTATTATAAATGAGTATATACTACAGCACTTGTTATTATAAATTAGTTGATCACTTTAACAAAGTTAAACAAATATACTGTAACTGTTCCTCTACCTTCTCTTCCTTATCTTTGCCTCTCTCTCCTTTGGGATTGGCTTTGAGTGT